GGCGCTGCGTAGCTAGAGGCTTCGGTCTGCGGGAGGATGTGCTTCTTCCAGACCTTCTCCCCTACCCCGAAGATGACTATTCTTTGGGTGCCCCTCCTCATAGCGGCACAGCGCGACTACGAGCTCCACTCACTGGACTTCTCCACAACTTTCCTGCGGGACAGCCTGCACAAGCAAATCTTCCTGAGACGCCCGCTAGGCTTCTCTGGGTCCTTCCCACCTGGAACCCAGTGCAGCCTGAGGCGCCCAGTCTACGGCCTGTAGCAGGCGCCCTGTAAGTGGCACGACACGCCCCGCACTATACTCGCGACTCTTCATTTCTTCCCGTCCATGGTGACCCCTCGCTCTTTGTTTGTGCTGGTCTGACTCCGCTCTACATACTTGTGTCCGTTGATGACCTCATCTTTACTGCTCTTGACAGGGTCACACTTGCCTCAATGAAGGCTGAGCTGTTTAGGCAACATGCCTATACAGACTTGGGAGAGCTACGGCTCTATTTGGGCTTGTAGATCTCTCGTGACCGTGCCGCGCGCATGACCACACTCTCCTTGTCCCATATGGTGCAGCAGATCCACCTACTGTTGGGCCTTCAGTTCTCTTTAGCACAGCCCACCCCTCTACCTATGGATCACAAGCTCTCTGCTCATGTTCCAGTTGAGCCGGTCGAGCTTAGTCGTCCATACGTAGAGCTGGTGGGATGCCTAAAGTACCTTATGACGTGCACTCGACCAGATATAACGTACCCTCTCAGTATCCTCGCTCGCTTTGTTACGATTGGTTGACAGCGACCAGAGCACTGGTCAGCTGCCAAGAGGGTGGCGTGGTATCTGGCGAGTACATAAGGACTGGGGCTTGTGCTGGGAGGATGGCAGCCAGTGGTGCTTACTGGACACACAGACACGTCGTGGGCTAATGACCTGAAGACACTCAGGCCCTCACAGGGCTACTTCTTTAGTCTTGTTGCGAGTGCAGTCGTGTGGAGGTGTGCTAGGTCGTCGTCTATAGCTCAGCCCAGTTGTGAGGCAGAGATCTACGTAGGGGGTATGGCCGTTCAGGAGCTCCGTTGGCTGGCGTTCTTGCTCATCGACTTAGGTGAGCGGCCTAGGTCTGCCCCGGTTCTGTTTGCTGATAACAAAGCCATACTCCTCCAGTGTCAAGAGGCTAGACTTTGTTAAAATGAGCTAGCTAGGGGGAGAAGCCATGGAATGGCGTGAGGTTTAGGAAGGAGAAATGTTGAGAGAAAAGGGAGTAGGACTAGAAGAGAAGGAGGTACAAGAAGGAGGTTTGTCCCCTCTACAATATGACACAGTAAGTAGCACAACTACCAAGCCTACAATTATATAAAATATATAATTTAACAGACTTGAGGGTAGGGCGAAGCATATCTAGATGCGGTACTTCCTACTGCGTGAGTTGCAGCAGTGCAGTCAGGCTCGTGTAGTACAGTTGGCCTTAGAGGCCAACACTGCTGATATCTTCACAAAGGCCCTTGAGTCTTGTGACCATCAGCTGTTCTGTACCCAGCTGGGTCTCATCTCAGCTGCCTCTCCCTTGCTTGTATCCTGATCTATGCTATACCGGCACTCTACTTGCTAGTCTATACCTGCTGCCTTGTTACGCTTGCTGATTGGCCTTTTGGCCAGGGCTGACATTTCAAAAAAAGGCACTCGGAGCCAACCCCCCCCCAAAAAAAAATAGTCTGAAGGGCCTTCAGCCGAAATTTTTGTAGTCTAAAATGTCAGGGTCCAGAACTCAGCGAGTCTGATTTTTTCAGGGTCCAGGACGTACAACCAGAGTCACACACGGGAAACACCCCCACAGCGAGAAACATCCCTCCCTCCTACACCTCCCAAAAAATCGGCTAAGTCCCTTGCAGCCATTAAAAATACTCCCACAGCCCGCGCCCCCCCCAACCAGCAACCTTGTCAGACCCTCGTTTTGCGTAGTTGTTAAATGTGGGAAACGGGAAAGTCATTCCTCAAAACCGAGGGGGTAAAATCGCACTGCCTCGGAAATCGAAACTGAGGAGAGGGGGAATCGAAACTGACCGGGAAATGGGGAGGGAATCAAAATGAAGGGGAGGGGGGAAGCGAAACGGAGGGGAGGGGGGGGGGGGGGGGGCGGTCGAAACGGAGAGGATGGGGGAAGCGAAACGAAAGGGAAGGGGGAAGTGATCGAAACGGAGGGGAGGGGGGAAGCGAAAATGGAGGGGAAGGGGGGAATCGAAACGGCAGGGAGGGGGGAAGCTGGGGAATAGGACGGTTGGGAAATCTTGGACGTTAATCACTACATAACATCGAACGATTGACATATGTCGAAACGATCGCAAGCGATCGTGACCGTTACATTTTGTTAGACTTTCAGTTGACCTAACGGGCAACTGGCGAGAATTTCCCTATGTTAAAAATGCGGAATTTACTCTCATTCCAATGCAGTTTAAAAAAAATCTGGAAGTCTCATTCAAAACTTCTGGGTTGTTCCAGGTGTTAGGGAGAACTGTATCTGACAACATGACTTAGTTGAAATTTAGGGTGGGTTGTGGGGTGTGTGGGGGATGTCTCTAGCGTTCCGGGACTTCGCCGAAATTTTAGATGGGTATTGGGGTGTGGGGTGGGGGTTGTCTCTAGGGTTCGGGGACTTGGCCGAAAATTTTTAGGGGTTGTGGGGTGTGTGGGGCATGTCTCTAGCAATTGGGGACTTCACCAAATTTTTCGAAGGTTGTATCAAAGAAGCTTAGGACACTAACTAAACTTAGGAATCTAGCTTAGCTAGGAAGGAAGGAAGGACGCCATGGAATGGCGTGAGGCAAGTAGATCTAGGAGTAGGCAAAAGTGACGAGAAAGAATAGGATGGACTAGGAAGAGAGAGAGGTACAAGGAGGGGATTGTACCCTCTACAGAAAGGTTCAGTAACACTACCAAGCCTATCAATTATATAACTCAATATAATTTTAACACACCCCCTAGGCTTGGTAGTCACAAGCCCACACACACCCCCACACCCCCTAACCCAGCACCCCCATTCCCATCAGCCACAATGCTCCCACCAGGGCCCAAAAGGCCTTAGAGATGGCGACGGCGGCAGTCCCGACCGCGGCGACAGCGACGGCGACGACGGGCGTGCGGCGGCAAACGGCCTGCGGCGACGGCAGCGGCGACGGCGATGGCTTCGGCTTACGGCGGTGGTGAGTGCAGCGGCCCCCGCCCTTCCGGCGGCGTGTCCAACCTCCGCGACAGGGGGACGACTGCCGAGAGTCTGCGGCGACTGTGGATAAGAGGAGGCGACAGGGGAAAGGGGGGACAGTTGGCGTGCGGGCGGTGGCGGCGTCACAGGCGTCGCGCAACCGGCTGCGGCCCGACGGCGCCGTCACAGAGCGACGTCAACGCTGCAGCAGGACGTCGACGTCGCGACGGCAGAGGCAGCGTCGATGCCGCAGCGGGACGTCGACGCTGCGACTGCAAAACGACGGCCCGACTCCACGGCAGCGCGTCGAGCCGGTCGCGGCACGACGCGGCCAGTGGCAGCGCGACGTCGCCACTGCAGCAAAACGCGGCCGCCATGGCCGCTCGAGCGATTGAGGGTGAGGAGTAAATGGCGGAAGCGTGAGGAGGCGGTGCAGCAGGGAGGATCTCCTGCTCTGATACCATATCAAAGAAGCTTAGGACACTGACTAAACTTAGGAACCTAGCTTAGCTAGGAAGGAAGGAAGGACGCCATGGAATGGCGTGAGGCAAGTATATCTAGGAGTAGGCAAAAGTGACGAGAAAGAATAGGATGGACTAGGAAGAGAGAGAGGTACAAGGAGGGGATTGTACTCTCTACAGAAAGGTTCAGTAACACTACCAAGCCTATCAATTATATGACTCAATATAATTTTAACAGGTTGGTACTGTACAGTTAATGAGTCAGGGTCTGTACGCACTGTTCTCTGAAAACCCAATACTGGGTTAGCGACAACTCTGATTTTCTCAGGATCCCTAGAATCGTACTCTGAAGGGATCAGGATTGGGAAAATGCCTTATCTGGAAATTCAGGTTTGGCAAAAAAACAGGTCTGAGATTTTAGACTAATCATATTAAATAGTCTGATAAAATCAGCCCTGCTTTTGGCCCCTGTCTTAGTGATTAGACTAGTAGTGCTGCCCTAAGCTTTTTTGTTACATACTCTGGAGGCCAAACTAATAGTGCTGCCCTGGATTACTGTTTCTTGTTATGCTTTGCCCCTACCCAGACTCGGGGATGTGTTAACGTTCGAATATATTTGTGTTAGGCTCTGCCCCGACAAGAGCCTTGCTAGGGTCCAGTTTATATAGGGTATAAACACTTAGATATAGCTTTCAGTTTTGCCTTGCGTATTCAACTAATTATTCTATCTCGACCTTTGAATCGCATCAATATTGTCAAATATAATCAGCCATACATATTTTCCCCACTAGCAGCCTGTAGCCTTTAAGGCGATTGTGTTGCGTCCTTTGTAGGTATCCACCATTAGCATGGTAAGTAAATTAGTTATTCTCAGATGCCCTGCGACTCCTATTTGCCTCGCGAAGAATGGGTTTTAGTAGCTCTTTATCTTAGTAGGGGAGTTGGGTACATTAATCTTTCTAATGAGGAGGTTCTAACCCAGGGAGGTCAATTCACCGAATGCGGACACTGCTGTCAACAAGGCCCTTCATTTTGAATCTTTATCGAGGACCAATCACTTGGCTCCTTGAGGAGACTTTTCTGGCAGCAAACTGAATGGTCCAATGAGAATGGCCGATTCCTCCAGCGCAGTCCGTAAATCCTTCAATCCATTGGACACGCCATTCGCATCGCGAAGATTTCGGCAGTGCGGAAGGAGCGGGCCACTGTGCAACTTTTCGCGCCAAGGGCCGCTCGGGAAACCCCCAAGGCTGCCCAATCCAGGCGAGGCCGTGGATGCGCGGCAAGCCCATTGTGGGCGAGACCTGGGATTCCCCTTTCGCTTTGCTTGCATCGCTATCGCTCTAGTTGTCTCCAGCACCCGCACTCCAAACCAAAGTGAGTCTTGAACAAACTGCCGTTTTTCCTGAAAAATAAAATAAAATTTACACATCTTCGAAGTCTAAAAGGCCTCCGCATTCCACGCGCGACAATGAGCGACGGCACGTCGACGCAGGAGCCGCAGCGGCAGGAGGCGGAGCAGCGATTGGAGGGCGAGGGTGAGGAGAGGGCGAGCAACGGCGAGGAGGAGAGGAAGCAGCAGCCGCTGGTGGCGGCGGCGAGCGAGGCTGCGAAGCAGGGCCCCGGGGGGCGGTCATGGCGGCTGCTCATCGCGGGCGGGCTGGCGGGCGCCGTGGCCCGCACGTGCTCTGCGCCTCTCGACCGCATCAAGCTGCTGCTGCAGGTACCGCCGCGCATGCTGCACGTCGCACATGCTGCACGTCGCACATGCTGCACGTCGCGCATGCTGCACGTCGCACATGCTGCACGTCGCACATGCTGCACGTCGCACATGCTGCACGTCGCACATTCTGCACGTCGCACATGCTGCACGTCGCACATGCTGCTCGTCGCACATGCTGCACGTCGCACATGCTGCTCGTCGCACATGCTGCTCGTCGCACATGCTGCTCGTCGCACATGCTGCACGTCGCGCATGCTGCACGTCGCACATGCTGCACGTCGCGCATGCTGCACGTCGCATATGCTGCACGTCGCACATGCTGCACGTCGCACATGCTGCACGTCGCACATTCTGCACGTCGCACATGCTGCACGTCGCACATGCTGCTCGTCGCACATGCTGCACGTCGCACATGCTGCTCGTCTCACATGCTGCACGTCGCACATGCTGCTCGTCGCACATGCTGCACGTCGCACATGCTAGACGTCGCACATTCTGCACGTCGCACATGCTGCACGTCGCACATGCTGCACTTCGCACATTCTTCACGTCGCACATGCTGTACGTCGCACATCCTGCACGTCGCACATGCTGCACGTCGCACATGCTGCACGTCGCACATGCTGCACGTCGCACATTCTGCACGTCGCACATGCTGCACGTCGCACATTCTGCTCGTCGCACATTCTGCACGTCGCACATGCTGCACGTCGCACATGCTGCATGTCGCACGGCGCTGCTACCTATTCCTCATGATCGCCTCCCATCGCCATCGTCTCACTTCACCTCACACCCAATGGCGCTTCCCCTCTCGTCCCGTGTGTGATGCGCGCGTGGCGGCGCGGTGCAGGTGCAGCAGCTGGGGCAGCTGGGCACGAGCGCGAACGCGTACACGGGAATCGGGCAGGCCATGGCCAAGATCGCGCGCGAGGAGGGCGTGCGCGCGTTCTGGAAGGGCAACGGGCTCAACATCATCAGAATATTCCCCTACTCCGCCACTCAGGTGCGCCGCCCTCCCGCCCAACCCGCCCTCTCTCCACCGCATGAACGCCCCTACCCTCTTCTCCCTCTCGATCGCCTGCTCCTCCCTTGCGCTACCTCCTAAACCGCGCCACTCCTCTGCCTCCCCTTCCTCCCGCGCTCACCCGTCGCTCCCACTCGGCCCTTTCCCCCCACAACCCCTCCCCCCTCCCCCCCCCACCCCGTTCCCTCTCCCCGTTCCCAGCTGACGTCGCACGAGCAGTACAAGGCGCTCATCGCCGGCCCGTCGGGGCAGCTGAGCGTGCCGCAGCGGCTGATGGCGGGCGCGCTGGCGGGCATGACGGCCACGGCGCTCACGCACCCGCTGGACACAGTGCGGCTGCGCATGGCCATGCCCACGTCCGGGTACAGCGGCATGGCGGACGCCTTCGCGACCATCGCGCGCACGGTCCGTGGGGGACGGGGATTTTTGTGGGGGGGGGGGAAGAGAGGAGAGATTGGGGGAGGGGGAGGTAACAGGTGTGAAGGGAAGCAAAAGAGATTCGTAGATTGGAGGCACGGAGTGGAGAGGAAATATGCGCGATCAAGGCAGCTATCGTGAGGAGTGTGTATCGAGCGAGAGCGAGGGGTAGAAACTGTCGGCACGGCCGTGACTCAGCGCAGGCAGTGGGTGCACTAAGAGGCCCCATTCCGCCGCGCTCAACCTCATCGCGCTCTCCACCATGCCGCATGCGCTCCCCCCCCTCTCTTCCCCGTGCCGTGCGCGTGGCGCCGTGCAGGAGGGGCCTCTGGCGATGTACAAGGGGCTCTTCGCCACGCTGCTCGGCATCGCGCCCTACGCCGCCGTCAACTTCGCCTCGTACGCGCCACAACTCATGCGCGCCCTCGCCGCACCTGCGCCCTCCTCACGTCCTCTCACCCCTGCCCCTCATCCCTCGTGCCTCGACTTTCATTGCCTCGCAACCCTGCCATGTCGGCCACGCCCACACCTCCCCTCCTTTATTCTTTACCTTCCCCTTGCAGTTCATTCCTTTGTCCAACCCCTTTTCACTTTCCCAACCCTCCTCCCTCCACGTCTGTCCTCCCTCCCACGCCTCTCTCCACCCCTTGCACGTGGCACCCCCCCAGGTACGACCTGCTCAAGTCGTCGCTGTACGGGTCGGGCGTGCTGCAGCAGTCGGTGCCAGCCAACCTGCTCATGGGCGCCACCGCCGGCACCATCGCCACGTCCGTGTGCTACCCCCTCGACACCGTGCGCCGGAGAATGCAGGTGACGTGCAAGGGCCGGGAGCAGAGGGGGGGAACGATGGATGAGACATGAAGAATTGAGTGTATGGGGGTGAGGCGAGGGGGGAGGGGGGGGAAGTGTTGTGATGGCGACACATGGCTGGTGTGCATGCACTGCCAGGGAAACAATCCAATCTGCCAAACCGGTATCCAAGCTCTGTGAACTCTCTGCATTTGCGTGCGTGCGTGCGTGCGCGCGTGCGTGTGCGTGTGCGTGTGTGCATGCGTGCGCGTGCACGTGTGCGTGTGTGTGTGTGTGTGTGTGTGTGTGGTGTGTGTGTGTGGTATGTGTGTGTGTGGTGTGTGTGTGTGGTATGTGTGTGTGTGGTGTGTGTGAGTGTGTGTGTGTGTGTGTGTGTGTGTGTGTGTGTGTCTGTGTGTGATGCAACCATGGTCCACGTGCAAGCAGATGAAGGGCAAGGTGTATCGCAACACAGCAGACGCATTTGCCACCATCGCGCGAACAGAAGGCCCAAGGTGAGCACACACGCCCTGTCTCAGCCACCACCTGCTTTTCCTATTGCCCTCATTGCTCCGCGTCCTGCCCTGCGTGCCACGTGCAATGTAGTCCGGCTTTATCACTCCACTGCAATGAGCACACCTGATGTGTGGGACAACGGTGTGCATGCCTGTGGTGTGTGACTGTACTGCAGGGGCTTCTATCGTGGCTGGCTGGCCAACACACTCAAGGTCGTACCCCAAAACTCAATTCGCTTTGTGGCATTCGAGTTCTTCAAGTCTGTTCTAGGGGTCACCAAGAAGAAGACTGACACATAGAGAACTGTGTAGTTGTGCTGCAGTGCCTGTATCATAGTTTTTTTGTGTTAGATTTCCAGCAAACAGATAATTTTGTAGTACAACGATATAAAGAAAGAGTCGACGAAGTCCTTGGGTAACCACCAGTGTCTAAGTAAGAGATGAGAGGCACATGTTAGAATAACGTAATGATTAGAAGGAAGAGGGAACAAGGGAGATATCGGGTTTAGTTTGTACTCTCTAAGAACACACACCTATTCTAGCCTATAACTTCTACATGCAACTGTATGAAAAAGTGACACACCCCCTAGGCTAGATAAGGGGTAGTGCTGAGCAAGAAGCACACAGCTCAGGGTGGCACTACTAGTCCAACCTCTGAGATAGGGGCCCGAAGACCAGTCAGTCAGCCAGGGTACAAACAAGACGAGCAAACCAGGGCGGCACTACTAGTCCGGCCACTGGAAGAGAACCCACAAGGCCAGTCTGAAAGATACTGTATATACCGTAATCCCCCGGATCAGGCCTCAAAATTGGTTTTAGGCCACTCTTAGGAATCAGAGTGCCAAAAAAAAATTACCCTGCCGGTCAGAGTACAATTTTTCTCAAGTCTGATTCAGCAGGGTAGAACATTCGGCACTCTGGGTGCTCAGGGTAAAAAAAGCAGAACCCAGTTTCACGTTATGAAATGCACTATATTCCTAGCTACACTGCATGTCAATAATTAACATATGGAAATAATTAGCATGAACTAGGAACGTAGGCAAGGAAAATCACAACCACACGACCTACAGCACACTAGGATCCTCTAGTGGAACTGGGTCAGGGTCAGGGTCAGTCCTTATGGTGCCTGCATCTGCAGAAGCCGCAGCTGGAGTTGGGTTGGCAGAACACAAGTCGCGCAGAGGCCGCCGCCGCTTCTCACCTCGGAAAACAGCTACCACATCAAACCAGTCAATCTGGTAGCACAGGAGCGAGCACCGCATCAAGTCGCCCAGGCTGTCATCGCCAAGGCACCCACGACTCCATGACTTGATCAGATTTTGCTTCGAGAAACCACGTTCGCACTCCACTGTGCTGAGAGGGAGCACCGCCAGTGCCTGCCACAGCTTGAGGATGTTGGGGTAGCTCCGCTGCCACTCATTGTTGTCCAGAGTCAAGGTGAGCCCCTGTTGAAACTCGTCATCTTTGTACTGCGACACCATGGTAGCAGTAAACACCCACAGCTCCGTGACGGCCTTGTTGTAGTCGAAGCCTACAGGATGGTGGGGTTGGGATTCAAAGGATAGGAAACAGTAAGCCTTTGAGGGGAGATGTGCAACGAATGTTGCTGCAAATGGATTGCGGGGACTGCAGCCTAAGAACGGACACGCAAGCATCGATGACAGGCAGCATCATCGAGAACAAATCTGGCTCACCTGGGAGCTTTCCATCGAAGAGGTTGTGGGACTGCTTCAGCCACTGCTTGCATCTCGCTAGGCGCAACTCGTCGTCTCGTGGGTAGGTCTTGGCTTTGAAGAGCTTGCATCCTTCCATGTTAGCCAGGTCCTTCAGGCGGGCACGGACGTTGGTGACGACATCGATTGCATGCTTCCGGCAGACTTGGGCGCAGGAGTCTAGGTCGCTCTTGGTGTTGTGCCCCTCCACCATCCGCTCATGCAGCACATACTCGAACGCCTGAGCATTCCCCTCCGAGTCAACGCCTTGAACGCGCACGCGGCGCTGGTCGGGCCTCCCGTGACGCTCCAGGAATTTCCCAAGCCTCTCGCTGCCGTTCCCGAAGAAGAGACCACCGCCGCACTTGATGTAGCGGTCGGTGATGCGGTTGCACGTGTTGTCCACCACTGAGGCCACGATTGTGAGATCCACCTGCAACGAAAACACAGAGATAATTTCAAAGCAAACAGGGCACCATGAACGACATGCAAAATAAACGTGCAAAGTATGACTGAGTGCCTAGATGCAAGCACATGGTACTGACGACATTCAACGATGAGAGGAGTGTCATACCTGGCGCTGCTGGAAGCGGGTGTTAAGGTGATTCAGCTCCTCCAGTATGTCGGCGAGGTAGTGCAGCATGAACTGCACCTTGAACGACGTCACAATCTCGAAAAGACCGCTGGGGTGATCACGCAGCAAGACGATGGCCGCCGGCAGCACTTCGACGAAGCGGATCACCGCCTCTCCGCGCGACAACCAACGTACGGCGTGGATCCCTTGCATCTCTAGATTGGTGTTGCAAAACACCAGCTGGAAGTTTATGAAGCTGAGGTGCTGATTGTTGGAGCGACCGACGAGCTCGGCGAAAGCACGGATGAGCATGTCGATGATCTGTAGCTCGGCCACAGCAGCGGCAGCATCCTTCGCCGCAAGTGCCTCTCTGGCGGGAGGAGTGGATTAAACACAAAAAAGCAATGAGTCCGACAAGCAGAGGAAAAGCATACGGTCAACGAGTACAACACTAGAACAGATGCAATGATTTGGAGCGTTCTACTGAAAACATGAGGGTAGCGAGTAAAACACCCCACCTATGGGCGATGCAGTGAACAGCCATCAGGTGCTCAATCCGCCTCTTTAGGCGGGTTACCACTCCCTGTTGCACACCGGTCATTACCGATGCTCCATCGGTAGCCATCCCGACGATCTTCTGGAGGTCGAGACCGATGTACTGCAGGTACTGTAGAAGAACCGCCGTCAGAGACGCCGCATCGGTCCGCTCGACAGTTAGCAGAGTGACAAACTCTGTGACTACCGAGTTGCCACGAAAGAACGTAGCATACAGAATTAGATGCTTCCCGTGCACGCGGTCCGTGCTTTCATCGATGGCGATGCCGACAAACGGGGAGCTCAGGATGTGGTGGAGCTGCTCGTCCTTCAGGTACTCGGAAATCGCCTTGGTCCCTTGCTTGAAGCCATAACTGGTAGGGGGAGATGGGAATGGATAGGCTACTGGTAAGAAAGTTGGAGAGCAAGTGGACACATACAAGGAAATTACGGCAACGTTCGATGTCTGCGGCGACATGCAATGCATTGACGGGAGAAGAGGGATTCGGATATCAAAACTCACTCCGTGTAGTAGGTCCCATACGCCCGACCCTGCGGGAGATCGGGTAAGCCCTCGGACACGAGGAAGTAGCAAAGCGCCACGTACATCGTGATGGGCGCGTCGGCCTTACAGACAAAAAGGGCGATATGGAAGCACCGGATGAGATGTTTCGTCGATGCATCTGTCACCGCCCATCGGTCTAGCGTCTTCTGCTGATCCGTCTCTTTCTCCCGTTCTTGCTGCGCCTTGACAGCCGCCTTGTGAGCACGTGTCCCAATGTGGATTCGGATGCTGCCCACCTGGAGATCGCGCGCACCCTCTCCTTTCCTGCCATATGAAGTGTTGGAGAAAGCATCACCGTACTGGAGACACAGGGCACATTTGAGGGCAGGTCGGCCGTTCTTCATACGAGTAAGTCGGAGCCACGGGAAGCGTCGTGACCAGTCGTCCACGAAGCGACGATTCACGACCTCATACTCCGCGTCGACATGAGAAGCGGGATTCTGGGGCGGAGTAGGAGCAACAGGCGGAGGAGTAGGCGGTGCAGCCGGCTTCTTCGGCGGTGGCGCCCAAGGAAGCCGACGCTGAGTCCATGGTCCGCAGTCCTTCCTCTTGGCGGGAGCGGTGGCGACAGACTCAGCAACTTCTGGTGCCTCGCCAGAAGTGCCTTCGCTGTGCAACAGGTTGAGGTCGATCGCCTCAGCAGCATGAGAAGAGCAAGGTGGGGACGTTGGCTCAAAAAGAAACTGTTGCGGAGGGGGTGCACGCTTGTCGAGCGAGGGATTGCGCGGCGGGGAAGGCGCAACTCTACGCGGCGGGAGGAGGGGGAAAACCCCAAGAACGCTGAGTCCATTCAGTGGGGGAGGGTCAGGAGGATCGGCAGCATCGAGCGCCATGGCTGAAGGACGATCCAGCTACTCGAAACTCTACTGGGTGAGGGAATGCTCGTTGCAAGTCAGGGGGCATGGTTTCTGGAAGAAACGTATGGAGAAGAAGGGCGTTTTGCGAGACACAAAAGGCGTGCAGTCAAGAGCCTCGTTTGGGACCGCTCAGCTCACAGGAAAAAACCTGTGAAGTTGCTGCATGCATCAGCATTCACTGTCGGCGCGCGAACTTGTCACCCAGCGAGGAAACAATGCTGCCACTCTAACCAATCGTAAGGCGGCGCAAAGCCAACGAGGTGGTACCATCAACACGTGCCCATGCGCATGTGATGATGGTGGGCAACAAACTTCGGACTGACGAGGGGCGTGGCGGTGGCGTGGCGGGCATCACTCGCACAAAATCTGGCACGTATCTTGCCTCTTTGGAGTTTCTGTATCAGGGTAATTTTCATTCTACCCTGACGCCTCAGGGCTGGGAGGCGCCCAACCCTGGTTCTAGCAGGGTAAAAAAAGGCGAACACTTTTTGAATCAGCCTTAAAAAAATTACAAGTCGGATTTTTAAGAGTAACATGAAAAATACCCGGAAAAATCAGGGCAATCAGGGCATTTCACCTGGCTATTTTGAGGCCTGCCCCGGATATACCGTATTCCCCCGTATATAACACCCTAGGGTATTGTCAAAATTTCATAAAAAAAAACGTATGGGTGTTAACAGTAGGTTGGAAAAATAAAACACCCATGTCTTATGTAAAATGCAAAATGAATTTGGGTTGTAACACGCACTCTGAGGCCAAAACTTCACCGAGCATCTGCTAACGAGGAATCTGCTACAGAGATTGCGTACTCTGACAGGGTCAGTTTGGTGCCTTAGAAAACGGTGGGAGATTGTGTTAAAATTATATAAGTTATAATTTAATATAGGCTTGGTAGGTTGTTACTGAACCTTTCTGTAGAGGGTACAAACCCCTTCTTGTACTCCTCTCTCTTCCTAATCCAACACCTTTTTCTTCTCAACATTCTCTCCCTTCCTAGATCCGTTTTCCTCACGCCATTCCATGGCGGCCTTCTTCCTAGTATTCTAGCCAACCTAGCCTCCTACCGTAATCCCCCGGATATAACACCCGCCGGAATAGTCACTCCGTGGGTGGTTAATACGGGGGGGAGCTTATGATATGGTGCATTTTTGAGAGTACCCGCTTTTCAGGCGACGAATTATACATAACGCCCCCCTATTTTTATTACTTGGAGTACACTAAAACAATTGTATATTCTACCATATGCATCCTATTACTACAGCAGCGTTACAACACGCTTGAATTCCTAATCATTGTTGCCTACAAGAATAGCATCCAGTGAGTAGCGCAAGGCCTAGATCATGTCTAAGTTAGAAATTAGAGACATCATTCACTACCTAATACTCCTCGTCATCCTCATCTCCAGCGTGCCAAGCCTCTACATCATCATCGTCGGATGCAATATCGTCCCAATCGTATTCTTCAGTCCATCGGGAGGCGGCCAGTCCAGCAAGTACCTCCGCCGCTGGCGCCATCTCTGCGGAGTCCACATCGCTGCTCTCTGTAGTGTCAGCCGCTTCAGGTGCAGTTGCAGCTACTGCTGGTGTTGTCGATGTTGATGCTGCAGCTGCTGCAGCGTTAAGTCGAGCCTCCGCCATCGCAGACGATTCCGCCACATCGACGCCAGGTGTCGGTGCATGCTGCGGCAGGTCGACGTTGACAGTGATGTCACACTCCTCGTCCTCGGAGAGCTCGTCGGCGGTCGGCTCTACGAACTCGGCTTCGAAGAGGGGATTCGTCTTCTCCCCGGTCGTCTCAACCTCCGCATGCACATCGTCCATGACCTCCAGCTCCGCGTTGTTGCGCATGTGGGCGAGTATGAGGTCGTCTTCAAGGCCATCGAGGTCGTTGGAGATGCCGCAGGTCTTGAAAGCCTTGCGGATGAGGTCGGTAGGGACTGCCTCCCAGGCGGCCGCGATCCACTGCAGCACCACCTCCGCCGGAGGCTTTTTCAGATTTCCTGAAGGGCGGACAGGGTTGGGTGGAGATTACATCGCGCATTAGGCAAACCGAAGCGAGAACTTGAGCAACACGTCAAGGCGTCGTAAAGCAAACGGTAAACAAGAACGTATGAAGAGCAGAGCTCAAGGATATGAAGGGTATCACCTGCGGGAGTTGTCGCGTCGCAGCCGAACTCCTCAAACCAACCTGAGTAGGACCGGCGGACATGAGCCTTCAAGCAGCGGTTCACAGCTACGTCGAGAGGTTGGACGATTGGCGTGCAGCCGCCAGGTATGACGGCACGTGAGAGTTTGAATAGACGCATCAACGCCGCCACCCCCTCAGTCAGATGGCCTTTGTAGGAGTCGAGGACAACGAGAGCCTTCTGCCGCCCGCCACGGCGTGCAGGAAGTCGCTTCAGAAAGGGGACAAGGACCGTCGTAATCCAGTCCTTCACGTGGTCCTCATCCATCCATCCCTTCTCCTGTGCGCGGATGACGATTCCTGCATGCAATCATGAACGAACCAAAAAGCTTACAATTAGTTTCTAACTCCGGTACATGAAACACTTACTGACATCAATACCCAATCGATACTAACCTGGCGGGACTCGAATCTTGGGGAGCGTCTTGCGCTTGAAGATGACATACGGCTTCAGCTTCTGGCCGCCAGCAGTGACCGCCAGCATCACGGTCAACCGCTCCTTTTCGTAGCCAGCAGTCCGAACATGTACCGTCTTTGAACCGCGGACTTCTAATGTAGTCTCTTGGGGCATTTCGAGGAACAAGGGCGTCTGATCGGCGTTGATAATCAAGTCATCGTCATATTTGTTGACTGTGCGCATCTGGCGTACGAACTCCCAGAATTTCTCGACTTTAGCCTCGCAATCTGCATAACGAGAAGACAATAAACGATGTGAGTGTACATGCTTATGCTTAAGTTCTTACAGCTCAATGAATAGGAAACCGCAAGCGAAATTGCTAAAGACCTTGCATATCAAGCACACAACGCACCGCTGGTTAGGCGCTGGCCCATCTTTGTCTTGACGCGCCGTGTCAATCCCCAACGCGTGCGGAACCGGAAGGTCCAACGGGATGACGCACGCCAGTCGACACCGGGATGGCGCTTCCGCATGAACTTCCTACTCCACTTCTGCAGACAACTCACCGACACCGCCAAGCCGCGCGCACGGTGTGAGAGGAAGCGGTTGTACATCTCCTTCTCCATGTCGGGGAACTTCGCCTTGCGTCCAGCACCGATGAGACGACGCCTGCATCCCGCCGCCGCCGACAGCCGTGCCTTGTTCTTCTTCCAGTCGCGTATCTGACAGGGTTGTACCTCGGCCATCTTCGCCAGCTTGCGATTCGAAAGCTTCGGGTCGGAGTCGAGATGGGCCAACCAGTATAGCTTTTCCGCCGCTGTGCGCGAGACTCTCTTGCGGCTGGTCCTGCGATGTCTGGGGGAGGGAGGTGCAGCATCCCGGTTAACTCGCGGCATGTGGGGACGACGAATGGGCTGAGGGAAAGATGGAACAATGACACGAGGAAGTGTCGGGGGTGGCTCTGGCTCTCCATCGGCAGCATCTTCCCAGTCTAG